CAAGCTGGCCAGACAGTGGTTGGTTTCTGTTCCCCTGGGTGACAAAGCGCCTACAGGCAGATAGAACACAACTGTGGTTAGATCTACGGCTGCAGAGAAACACTGCCAGCTCCAAATAATCATACTCAGAATAATAGCTCATCAAGACTAAGACTGCTGAGAGGGCTCGGCAGTCAAAGGCTCCTGCTGCCAGGCTGACAACCTGAATTTGTCCCCAGGGACACAAGTGGCAGAAGGAGAGAACCAACTCCTACAAATTGTCCTCTGAGTTCCACACACACAGTAGAACGAGAGTGTCCAAATGCACGCACGCACACACACAATTTCTAAAAGTGTGCAAATCACTAATATTTTGCAAGTCATGTTTTGGGGCTGGAGAAATGGCTTCACAGTTAAGAGCATGCTCTGCTCTGCTCTGGAAAAGAACCCAGGTTGGTTCCTAGCACCCATTTCTCATGCCTCCCAACCACCTATGACTCTTCCTCCACGGGAGCTGAGGCTCCTCCACACAGCGGGTGTGGCAGTTCTCTGCAGGATCCAATGCAGAGCCTACTGTGGGGAAACAGTGTCTCAGCCGTGTGCAGCCAGGGAGTGGGCAATGATCTGCAAATGTCCCACAGAGCAAACCACCAGAGCATGCGGAGTGTCCTGTTTCATGTGTCTGTGAATGTACCGCACACAGCCCAGAGGCCACACAAGAAACGGCAACTGCAGTTGCTTCTGGGGACAAAAGCTGAAGCGTGTAGAACTAGACAGGAAAGCTTCGGTTACACCCCTAAACGGCCACCCTCCCCCAAAACCCCCCTCACAAAACTACTCCACAGTCAATAAGCCTTACAAGAACAGAGCTACGGTAGACTCTTACCGTGACTGAGCGCTGTCTTCGCTGCCAGAACAGAAGCTGCTGCTGGGAAGGTGTTTAGAGAGAGTTGCCTCAACAGGAAGTGACCTGTAAATGCGGGTGCAGGGTAAATTTGTTTAAAGATACTTTTCTACATGAAAAGGAGCATTCTATGCAGTAATGCCTATAGAATATTAACACCTACAGAATGAAAGGACTAAGACTAAGAGCAAGCCATCTCCTGACTCCATGACCACTTGCCAAGTAGCTGACATGGCACCTCATCTTCATCCTTCATCCTCGAACCCACCCAGTTTCAGAGTCTTACAAAATCTCCTTGAGTGTCATGCCACCTGTTGCCTGCCCTGTGCTCTCCTTGCTGGTCCTTCTTTGCTAAGGCCTCCTCGTCACTCGGCCACAGGATAACCTGTCTCCTACCAGGCTTCCCTAAATCTCTAACTCGGCATCTTCCCAGTGTATCAGACCTAGGCAGTCACAGCCCCGACACAGTCTTCCTTGGCTCTCTCCTGCTCTATAAGACAAAGCAAAAATCCTGAGCACAAGCTGCAGCAATGGCTTATGCTTATGATCCCGGGACTCAAGGGAGAGGGGAGGATCTGGTCAGCTTTGGCTCCATCACAAGTTCAAGACCAGCTTAGGCTACATGAGACCCTGTGTCAAAAAACTGAGTAAACCAATCCCTCGGCACACCCTGCAGGCTGGCCACAGGGCCCAGGCGTCCACTGCAGTCCCACACTGCCCTTCTCCTATGCCCTCCCTTTGGCATCACCGGATCTGCACTTCGGAACAGACCCTGCTCTGACAGTCTTACTTCTCCAGGCTCACGGTCACACGATAAACAGTAAATTCCTCAAAATAGAAAACTCCTTTCAGGTATGAGGGAGAGGCTCCTGCCCTCTGGTGCCCACCAACTTTCCACTTAGTCTGGTGCTCTAGAATAGACTCTGACAGCGTTGGCGAGAAAACTGATGTATGGAGACACTGGGATAGTAACACCCCAATGAAGTTGAAGCTACACTTCATATTATAGATAGCAACTAACCTAAAATTGGCCAAAGGATTAAAGGTAATAGTCAAAACTAAAAATCTTAAAAGAAAACACAGGGGTAAATGTTCAAAACCTTGGGTTTGGCAATGGTTTCCTAGATATAACACCGAAAGCACACACTACCACAAAGGGGAGGGGGAAACCCCAGACAAATGAGGCCATCAAAATTCCAAACTGGTGTGCTGTTTTTCATGGCCAGGAACAGCTCAGTAGTAGAGCACTTGTCTAGCAGGCATGAGGACCTGAGTTTTCAAAATCAAAAACTTGTGTTTCAAAGAACACTATCTGTGTCAGGGATAGAGGTACAAACCTATGATTCCAGCATTTGAGAAGCAGAGGCAGGAAAAGACTGTGAGTCTCAGGCTAGACCACATTCACAGTGAGATCTGTGGGAGGGGAGTCTTAAAAATTAACATGAAAAATAAGATTTAAAAAATGGATCTTAATGGGGTGGTGGTGGTGCACACCTTTAATCCCAGCATTCAGGAGGCAGAGGGTGGATCTTTAAATTCAAGGTCAGCCTTGTCTCCAAAGTTCCAGAACAGTCAGGGCTATACAGAGAAATCCTGTCGCAAAAAAAAAAAAAAAAAAAAAGTTTCTTCATGGACCATATCTTTTATCCAGTCTGGAAGCAGAAAGGGACTGACCTCTGTGAATTCAGTGCTAACCTTGTCTACATAGTCAATTCCAGGCTAGCCAGGACACACAATGATAGCCTATCTCAAAAAACATTTTTTGCATATTATATATCTGACAAGAGACCTGTATCTAGAAAACACAATAGTAATAAAATATAATAAATCTTTAAATTCAATGATGAAAAGTAAACCCAGCTGAAAAATGGACAAGTGTGCACACACATGTGGACACACACGTGTGTATACACATGCACACACACACACACGAGACAAAAATATTTGAACAAAAATTTCTTCAAGAACATGCACAAATGGTTAATAAGCACACAAAACCAAGCTCATTATACACAACTAGCTTGGCTACCTGAATAGAAGAGATAATAACAAGTGCTGGCAAACAGAAACTGGAACCTCGATGCTGTGGTGGGGCTGTCAACATGGTACAGCTACATGGTAGTTCCTTAGCTAAACATGAAGCTATTACTTCAACCAGCAATTCCACTTTCAGGAAATGTACCCGAGAAGATGGATATGAGCACAGACAAAAGCCCAGCTCTCGGCGATTTCAACATCAGTCAGTCCTGACAGCCAAGGATGGAAACAGCTCAAATGTTCATCAACCAATGAATGGATAGACAAAATGTGGTGTGTTGACACAAGCGTATTACCACGTCACAAGCAACATGGTGTGTCACAGTATGGATAAATCCTGACAACGAGGCACTTACGGAAGACGCCAATCACAGAGACCAGATATGTTTTGGATCTATTTATGAAAAGTGTCCAGAGCAGGCAAGCTATGGACAGATAGTGGTTGCCTCCTGTCGAGGCCTACTAGGAGAACGGAGGGGACGGACACAACAGTTGAAAAGTAGTGTCCTGGGGAAAAAAATCCCTGAGGTGTATACTTCAGATGGGTGAGTTTTATGGTACGGATCTATGTCGATAAAACTGCTACTCCAAAGAAAGAGAAGTAACACAGGGGATATGGAGAATTTGCAGCAAGGCATCATGGGTGCAAAGATGTAAGTAATCCGCAAGTAAGTTTTTCTCTGTGTGCTGTAACTTCCTCTTCTATAAAACAACAATAACGAGGCAGACTCTGAGAGTAAACAACTGTGATTACAGTGTTTAGGAGCTGAGACAGGAGGCTTATAAAGTGGGAGACCATAGTGCGACTCTTTCTGAAACAAAAAGGCAGGCGGGGGGGCTGCGGTGGTATGAGGATACAACGAAATCATTGAGGCATGGGGAGGAGGAAATGGAGGGATAAAATCATAAATAGCTTAAGGTCGTTTCTGGCACACGGATGACTGGAAGGCTACAGCCCACTATTCAACAGAGGTCTTAAAAAGATGGTTTCAAAGCCGGCAAAACAAGCGAAGGCTCACGCCACACACCCCACCAAGTGATTCCAGATCAAATATTGCAACAAATTTGACTTTCAGGACCTGGACCCTGAGTTTAACAAAAGTGCACACTGTCGAGCGTGAAGCCATTCCTACAGACCAACACTATGCTAGAGAACCACACGCGACTGTGCAGGGCTGGAGGAACACAGTGACAGCCAAAGTACATTCTAGCGAACGGATCAGCCCAGATGCTAAACTGACGGCTAATCTAAGGGACTCAGCAAAAAACGATCCCTTAGGGTTGAGCTCCGCGGGCCGCACTCAGGCTCAAAGCCAGAATTGACATCACCCTCGGCACCATAGGTGATGCTTGCTACTTCTGTTCCTTATCACCGAGTGGGCCAGAGCGGTTTTGCTGGCTGAAAGCTGAGTGCAGGTTGCTTCCTATAATCTCAAGCCCTGCGACCCAGAGAGGGCAGAAGGCGCGCAAGGTCACACAGCCTGAATGATCCGAATCAGAGACGAGGATCGGGGGCCAAGCAACTTCTCGCGTCGTTCGACCAGGAACCTCGCACACCCCAGAGAAAGCACCCTGCTCGCACGCCCTCGCAGTCTAGGTCCCAGCGCTCACCTGCCGGTAAACTACACAGTGCAGGGAAACAGCCTGCAACTCGTACAGCCGCCGCCATGCTGGAGCGGGAGCAACGACGCTGTCTGGGTCTGGGATCGCCTTCCCCACTGCCTGCCACAACAGGCTGTGACCGCGCCTCGTCACACGTGCGTCCTAGGCGCAAAGAGAGGTGCTGAGATTCGGGGGTCACCGTTCTGCGCACACGGAGGTAGAGAAATTGTCCACACGGAAGAAAAAGGAAAATTGATTCAGGCTCAGCCACGAACAGCTTCCCATGAGTCCTCGCACTAGGACCCCAGGCAGGGGCGGGGGAGAGGGCGGGACTAACTCTGGATTTTGTAATACTAAGTAATGGCCAAATCTTTGGAAAGCTCTTTCGGCTGAGTCCGTAAACAGTCTGGAAACAGCAGGACGAATCCAGGGAGTGAAGGAAAGAAAGTTTAGGAAGTTCGTACATCACTCCAGAAAAGACCTAAAGTTAATTAAACTTTACGTTGCCTTTGATTTCAGACTCATTTTGTATTCGTGGTAGAGGTTGTTCACACACGCAGAGCCAGCCCTAGACCATGGTTTTTACCTCTCCTGGTCACGGCTTTACACTATTCCTGCTTGCCCAAATGAGCCACATGTGATGGTTCTGGACTCTGCCTTTGAAAGGTAAGCCTCCAGCAAACTGTTTCTAGCCTGCCCTGGGCACAGTGTTTTGCTAAGGCAATAGAGTAATGCTGGCTTTCGTCATTAACGTCTTCAGTTATCCTCCAAGGCTTCTGCCTTTCCTGAGAGCAATGGCTGTCACGCACGTATTGGCCACCTAATGTCTTGGTGATGATTTGAAAAACACCCAGAGATCCTGGGAGAGTCCAAATGGCGGCTGATTGCTTCTGAGTGTGTCTTGGCTGCTTCTCAGGCATTTTCGGCATGGACTGGGAAAAGGCTTCAGTTCGTTCAGTGACGGTACCCATGAAGACCAAGAGGCATTTGAAAATTTGACAGGTGGGAAGCTCAAGGAACTACACCTTCCAAATCTGTCCGAGTGAAGAGGCCGTGTCTGTGGGTGGTTACAAAAAGAGATCTTTCTGAGGCACATGGAGCCCCTGGGAACTCAGGAAAAGACTGACAGAGCCCCTTTCCTGAGAATAGGTGATTGTGTATTTCTCCTAACCTTGTCTGACTGGCGAATCACGGAGCTACTTTACAAGCTTCTATTAAGTACTTGAAGAACATAGTTGGGGGTTTCTGTGTCAGGGACCATTGCTGTAAAGATGATAGCAGAGACCATTGTCCTAAGGATGTTTGCAGAGAGCCCGACACCCCAACTTTCTTGAGAACTATTTGTTAACGGAACCCACCCCATATTCCAAACTATCTTGAAAATTATTTGCTAACGGAACCCGCCACACATTCCACCTCTTTGTTGATGGAATCACAAAAGGAATGTTTCTGCTTGCACAGAGAACACTAGGTGTGCTGACCAGTGACCTGTGCTACCCCGGCAAAGTTCCTTCTTACCCCTACCCCCCACCCCAAGCCAAATTCCTCATTCAAGAGCTATATAAGCCACAACCATTACCCTAATAAAGGAGACCTTGACAAGTGAATTTTGCTTGGGCTCCTTCTTTCCTCTCGCCCATAATTCATACAGGTAGAACCTCTTCAGACCCTGAATAACTGGACCTGCTGGATGGGTCATTTCTGTGTGCGGCCATCCTTCAGGAGGACAGAGGAATCCTTTCACACTTGCCTTCTCCACTGCCTTAGGGGCTGACTGACACTTACAGGGTATCCATCAGGCTGACAGAGGCGAAAGGAGTCAACAAAAATTAGGCAGCAGGGCTGTAAACTTGGCAGTCTAGTGACCAATTTATTCCCTCCTTTGACAAATGATTCATCCCTTTGGTGTCCCCTGTAGCAGATATGGAAACACTGGAGAGGTTTCGAATGGGAGGGGGCATGACAGACAAAATCTTCGGACAATAGTGGATGGAACTTCTCTTGGAGTCAAGTAAATATCTTTCCTTCCAGAGAGCAGGATGAACATGTAACACCAGGAATGTACGTATTTGCTCAGGAGAAGAAGTTGCTTCTTTGACAATTCTATGTTCTACTTATGAAATACTTTTATACTATTGACTTGAAAGCTAAAGAGATCAAGTTTTTAGGAAGGAGTGTACCTGGTGGTGTGAGATCAAGGTGTCACTGTCAGTCCCTGGAGAGACTGAGGTCATCTTGGGCTTCAGAGTGTGGTCATTTGGATAGGTAAGATATGGACTATTTGTGACCATCCAATAGCCAACCTAGGACTGTTATTGATCCTGATTTTTGACCATGTAATTGAAGGAGCCTGTCTGTCTTGGGAAGCCCCAGTGCTGGGGCTTTCTTAAGGCTATCATAAGATGGTTTCTTGGTCCCTTGATTACAAGGGGTATGGATTTGGGACTCATTTCGCTTCTCAGAGATTTAACCTGGCTATTTCGTTCAGTGCTGCAGATCATATTCTGCAGTACCCTGTTAGCTCCAGAAAAGCCCTAACAAGTCTCTTATTTCAGAGAGGAGGTAAATCCAAATATCCTGGGGCCAAATGAAGATCCAGTAATTGACTTATGCGTCTCAAAGGTTGAGTCTTTCCCTAGAATCTTTGCATCCTTTTTGAGCTACAAAGTTTAAAGTGTTTACAGCCTGTTGTTTGCCTGGTGTCCTCTGAAGCAGTAGAAAGGAGGTCATCCTCATACAGCATTATGGTTACAGAACTGAGTGGAATGCCCCAAGGTGCCACCCAATCCGGGGTCTGACCAAAAGAGTGAGAACCAAGAATTCTTGAAGGAAAACAGCAACAGGTATGTCGCTGAGCTCATGCATCGATCTGGGATAGTCCACTGAAAGGTGACCAAGAACTGGGAACCCTGACTTTCAGAAAAGACAGGCATGCTGGCAAACCAGAAACCGGATTTATGCTGTCTTAGGGCCCTCCTCCCAGCTGCACTGCTCAAGTCCGCCTTAGAGGGACAGGTGATCTCCGGGCTTAGGGGCACACGCACAGGCAGCCAGGTCCCACAGCTTCAGCACCACGGATCTGGAGTGCAAGCTTGGGTAGTTTCGTTTTGTTTCCAATGCGTCACCTTGAGGGCGCCGGCTGTCGAGACTTCTGGGAAATGGAGTCCCTGCGAAGGTGGCGCATTGATTCAGGGGCCATAGGCAGAAGACCGTCGCGCAGGCGCACTGCCTTCCCAATCCCAGGCGGTGTGGCCTTACCCGGTACCCAGCGCGCTTGCTGAAGGTGAGGATGTGGGTCTAGGGTTTTCAGATGCCTAGAGGACGCAGCTGCGGAGAAAAGGGAACCTTAGGGACTCGGAGGAGGATTCGTGAGCGTGACCTGGTGTGGCTACCTTGCTCGTGATTCGTCCCGCCCAGTGTGCTTAGGTTCCTTAGGGCACAAACGCCGCTCCAGGTGTCCTTGTGGGTGTGTCCACTGTGTGTCAGAGTCCTGTACTTTCAAGTTGGAGGTCCCTGTCTGCGCCCTGTCTTCCTCCAGTTCCTTCTTTTCGTAATGGGTGCTACAGGAATGTAGGTGGTACCGACCCTGAATCTAGGGGTGTCCACTCCACTCTCACCAGCAGCAGTCCTACCTAGGCTTCTTGAGTGCTGAGATTGCAATGCCTACCACATACAAACTTAGACTCTGCATTGTGAGAAGGTGAGATGCATTTAGCTAACTTATGCAGAGGAAGTTAGAAGACAGTAAGTCTCCTGGAAACTCAAGGATTTTAAATAAAGCTGCAGTGTGTGGGAACTGGAACTCACTTCATCTAGAAACACTGTGAGCACCAGTGTTTCACCGCTAAAGTGAGCTACAGCCATTGTTCTGTCTCCTGGTACCTCTGCTCCCTGTCCCGGAGGCTACCTCAGTATCTCCTGATATCTTCTTGACTCATCACTTGTATGTTGTCCTGACACTTAAAATTCACGTTCACTAAGAAGGATGTCGTCTTTTCATACAAGATCATTTCTGCCAAAGTTTTCTCAACTGGATACAAACTTAGACATACTTAGGAAAAGAGAATCTTAATTGAGTTGCCATCATCAGACCTGTCTGTGAGCATTTGTGTGTGAGTGTATTCTTTCTCTCTGTCTCTGTCTCTCCTCTCTCTCTCTTCAAGACGGGGTTTCCTCTCTGTAGCCTTGGCTGTCCTGGAACTCACTATGTAGCCCGGGCTGGCCTCGAACTCTGCAAACTCATAGAGATCTGCTTGCCGCCGCCGACTCCCAAGTGATGGGATTAAAGGTTTGTGCCACCATCCCCCGGAGTATGGGGCATTTTCTTCATTACCCATTAGTACTGGAGGACCTAGCCCACTGTGGATGTTGCCATCCTGGGGAAAGTAGATCTGGGCGGTATCAGAAAGTAGCTGGACAAGCCAGTAAGCAGTGTTCTTCTGCGGTCTCTGATTTGGTTTCTGCCTCCTGGTTCCTGCCTAGGTTTCCCTTGGTCATTTGTAAAGTTGTTTATGCTTTAAGGTCATTAATTTTGTTGTGTTTTGACTCCTGGGAACAGAGCTCTGCCCTGAAGATAAGGGTACAACAGACACTGCTGTGCTTTCGATATTCATGGCTTTTGCTCTAAAACTGGAAGGATCATAGAGTGCTCTTGGCCTTCCTTTTGGTTTTTGCCCTTTTGGTGGTGTTGGGAATGAAGGTGGCTACATTTCTCACTGATACATGGAGAGGCCTTGCCATATGGGTCAGTAGACCCCAGGACTGATCCTTCAATACCTTTCTCCTTCCATACCTTTTCCTCACTAGGATCCTGTTCTTCCCTCGCAGGACACCATAGGAGGGAATGGCTGCTGTGTCTCCACCTACTAGATGCCAGGTGAGGTGGACATTTCTATTTCTGAAATACTGTTATTAATTGCCAAAATGTAGGCACTTCTTTCTTTATCCTGAGTGTTTTCCTTTACGACCCTCCACCCCTAAGCCAATAAAGGGCTCCAAGGTAAGATGATCTTTAGCACTTTGAGCCCATGAGCTTCCCAAAAGCTGACAGAGCAGGGCTGCCTGGAGGAGTCCAGCATCAGTGGTTCCGTCCTAACTGTGCCTCTGGCAGCCAGTTGTGGGCTGAGAGTCAGTCCCTGATTGCCGAGGAGTGTTGGGTTAGGCTGGAGTCCATGGTGTGCTACAGAGCACCCAGAACCTGCCCCGGGAGAGGCGAAACAGACCAGGAAGGCAAGGCTTGTAAGGGTGTGGTTGTGTTTGCAGCCTTCTGTGACATTTGAGGATGTGGCCGTGACTTTCACAGATGAAGAGTGGAGGCATCTGCTTCCTGTGCAGAGGGCGCTCTACAAGACTGTGATGCTGGAAAACTATGAGAACATCATCTCACTGGGTAAGGAGTCAGAACACAAGGGCAGGGGATTTCCACCTCTTTGACCCCCACCTGAGTTCAGAACCACCTGACAGACAAAAGTGCCAAAGGAGGTGGCTTTAGATGCTTAGCTAGTGACCCTAGCCCTGGACAGCTGGACTACCATGTTGTTAACGGCACTGGGAAACCACAGATCTCCTTGTTTAGCAGCTTGCTTCCACCTGACAAGGCAGTCTGCAGGACAGGGCAGAGCACGTGTGTTGTGGGTAGGGATCTGGCTCCCCAGAGGCAGGCAGCAGAAGAGGTAATGTGTCTGAGTCTCCTGGCACGCCAACTGGTGATGACTCAGTTCCATCGAGTAGACAGGAGCCATCTTGGTGAGAGGAGATGTCAATCACTTCATGGAAGACGGAGGAGGACAAAGAAGTGCCCCTGTGGAAAGGAAAGAGGTCATCAGAGATGTGCTTGATTTTGAATGTTTGTCTTAATGACAACCTTATAAAGGGCACTTTGTAATCAAACTTATGTGACAAGCGTGTGATGTGCGAATTGCACTCTTGGATTTTTGAGGGACCCCCCCACCAAGCTCCCAAATAAATCACACAGAGGAATATTCTTAGTTATGAATGCCCAGCCTTAGCTTGACTTGTTTCTTGCTAGCTTTCCTTAACTTAAATTATCCCAACTACTTTCTGCCTCTGGGATTTTATCTTTTCCTTACTTCTGTGCATCTTACTTGCCTTCTTACTGCATGACTGCCTGGGTGGCTAGCTCCTGATGTCCTCCTCTCCTTGTTCTCTTGCTTCTCCTCTTCCTCATTTCTCCTTCTATTTATACACTCTGTCTGCCAGCCCCTTGCCTTGCTATTGACCGTTCAGCTCTTTATTAAACCATCAGGTGTTTTAGACACACAGCTTCACAGAGTTAAACAAAAGTCACAGTCCTGAAAATTATCTTCCCCAAGAGGGAAAGTAAGAGCTTTTGTTCATGTCAGCTCTTAATGAAGTAAAGCAAAGTCCTTACAGGTAATAAGGAACACCCAAAAGCTTCCAGAATAAGAGGCTGAGGCCAAGCACAGTGGTTTGTACTTGTAGTCTTGGCCACTCTGGAAGCAGGAGCACACAGATGCAAGAGCCAGTAACAGTCACACTCATGTTGCAGGTTTGTATTGAAAAGCCAACATTGGGCTGAGGATGGAGCTAAGTGGTAGAGTGTTTCCTAGCATGTGCAAAATTGTGTTTAATACATGGACACACCCGCACACATCAGCACCTTCTGTATTAGCTTAATCAGGGATATTAATTAGTTAATATCCAAACTGAAAAGATTGTTCAGTTGGCATCAAGGAAGATCCTGAGATTTTATCAGAGGCTTTGGAAGAGAAGAAGCCACAGGAAGGAATGGGCGTGGTCACTCTGCCAAAAGAGAACCATTACACACCAGACTGATGCTTCTCAGGCCCAGGAAGAACAAAGATTCCCTACCTCCCCTATCTCCCAAAGCAGAACCTTGTCCACGGGGATGTTAAAGCTCAGGTGTTTCCAAGAGTGGGGTCTAATTTTGTCCATTTGGCTATAGATATGAGTGGCTCTAGAAATGGATCCAAAGAATGTAATAGGATTGCCAGTTTATACAGCATACCAGGAGATAGTTCCCATAGTATTGTGTGTTAATAGCAAAACATTAAAAATAGTAAAATGTGCTGGATGGTGGTGGTACACGCCTTTAATCCCAGTACTCAGGAGGTAGAGGCAGGCCAATCCCTGTAAATTCTAGGGTAGCCTGGACTACAGAGAGAGTTCCAGGACAGGCTCCAAAGCTACAAAGAAACCCTGTCTTAAAAAATGAAAAACAGGGCTGGAGAGATGGCTCGGTGGTTAAGAGCAGTGCCTGCTCTTCCAAAGATCCTGAGTTCAAATCCCGGAAACCACGTGGTGGCTCATAACCATCTGGAATGAGGTCTGGTGCCCTCTTCTGGCTTGCAGACATACACACAGACAGAATATTGTATACATAACAAATAAATATTTTAAAAAAATAAAAAAATATTTATTAAAAAATGATAAACAACAAAAGAAAATTTCTGTAGCTAGGATTTACTATATTATTTATCCATATAATGTGCTATCATATAGCACATTGTAGAAAATCTGTGCTAAATAAATGTTTTATATTTACTGCATGAAATGAACTTCAGAAAAAAAAAAAGAACTTCAGTTTATAACTCAGTCGTGTTTCATTATCCAGCTTAGTCCTTATAACATTGCATTCCGTTTTTCTGTATTTACCTGGGGGAGATGCATGTGCAATAGCATGCATGTGAAGGGAGGGGACAACTTGAGGGAGCTGGCTCTCTCCTTTAACATGTCAGTTCTAGGGTGTGAACCCAGCTTGGAGGCTTGATTCACCCAGTAAGACATCTCCCCAGTCCCCATTATCCAGTCTCTGACAGAATCAATGTAAGGTCCTCCTAGCATCAACATTAAGGCAGGAAATACTAGCAAAAGTGTGAAAGGTGACTCCAGTTTTCCTACAGTGAGCACAACTGGCTTGTTTCCATGGAAACATACTAAGGATGATCAGAAAAATGACAATGAGTTCCTTCCTTATGCTTTTTCAGTCAGGATGCTCCTTTTTCCCTCTCACCTCCGGTGCCAAGGGCCTCTACCTGCCAGTTGTCCGGATTGAAAGCTTCCCTATGCTGCCTACGAATTGAGGTGGCTTTTTTTTTTTTTTTTACTGATTAATAGGGTGGTATTTATTTAAAGGGGGAAAACTTACAGATCACCGTTCCAGAAAACAGCCCTCTGCGCAATTGTGGGCTGCTCTGGTGCCTGGCATTTGCCCTTTCAAGAACCCAAGTGCTGACCTTCCCCAGAGGTGTCTTTGGTCTGTATTCTGTGTTTCTGAGAGTCTACACTTAGAGGCCAGGGTTGAGTTTGGAGTGGTTCAGCATTGTCATCCCAGCAGCCTCCTGCCTTATGCTTTCTCCCTGAGCAGGGCTTCCTGTTCCTCGACCTGACGTGATTCTCCCATTTCTTCAGTTGAAGAGCAGGCCCGAGCCATGGACACAGGGGCTTCATGGATGTGAGGAGAAAGAATGGCCAGACAGTGTCTCTCTAGGTAACCAAGTCTGAACAGAATGGGCAGAGTTTTGTTTGTTTCTGTTCTTGGGTGGACGAATGTTAGGGATCATCCTTGTCTCAGATTCAAGTTGTCCGCTTGCGTGTCTGTTTCCTATTGCACATCCGTTCTCTGGTTCCCCCTTCTCCACATTAAAGTAGGACTTCCCTGCATTCACCAACTTGTTTCTCAGAACTGTCACCTAGCCTGTGTATACCACCAATATTTTTATTGGCCTCCCAGGTCTCTGCTCAGCCTACTCTAAAGAATCTATTGGCCCCACTCCCAGAGCCGTTCTCCTGTTCTCTGAGAAGTCTGTTTCCCCATTCCTTCCCTGCTCCTCCCCTACTCCCAAGCCGTAGGTTCTCCCAGAGTCTAAGCTCTCCGGAAAGTGATGCCCTGTGACCAAGTGTTCCATCTGTCATAGTGCTCCTCTCTTCTGTCATTTTCTCTGAGTCCAGAGAAGAAACTGCATCTGAGTTTTCTCTTTGTTGCAGACTGGGAGCCTAAGCCTGAGATCCCAGATGCTTCAGCAGGAACCCTGAGAGACAGTCATAGAAGGCAAAGTCCTCTGTGCACTAAACTGGAAGTTCAGACACTAGCAGGTGGATTGGAACCAGCAAAGGGAAGTCCTACAGCAGAGACTTGCAAGAAACGTCTTTCCTCGAACAGAAGCTTGCAGCGAAGGCCAGCCCCATCCAGGAAAGCCCTTGCTAAGCACCAAGACCAGGAATGTAGTGACTGCGGGAAGACCTTCTTTGACCATTCGTCACTCCTCCGTCACCAGAGGACTCACACTGGAGAGAAGCCCTATGGCTGTCCTGAGTGTGGGAAGGCCTTCAGTCACAGGACCAGTCTCAGCAGACATCTGATGTCACACACAGGGGAGAGCCCCTATGAGTGCAGCGCCTGCGGCAAAGCCTTCTTTGACAGGTCATCCCTCACAGTACATCAGCGGGTGCACACGGGAGAGAAACCTTTCAAATGCAGCGAGTGTGGCAAAGCCTTCTTTGACAGGTCGTCCCTTACTCGCCACCAGAGAATCCATACCGGGGAGAGTCCCTACGAATGTCAGCAGTGTGGCAAGGCCTTTAGCCAGAAGAGCATTCTCTCTAGTCATGAGCTGATCCACACCGGAAGGAAACCCTATAAATGTAGTGAGTGCGGAAGAGCATTCTATTGTATCTCATCCCGTAACAGACACCAGAAAGCGCATGCCGGGGAGCCACACCATCAGTGCGACGAGTGTGGCAAAGCTTTCTTCGAACGTTCTTCTCTCACAAAGCACCAGAGGACACACACTAGAGAGAAGCCATATGAGTGCAGCGAGTGTGGGAAGGCCTTCGGCCAGAAGTGCCGGCTCACACTACACCAGAGAGTTCACACAGGGGAGAAGAAACCCTTTGAGTGTAGTGTGTGTGGAAAAGAGTTCAGCTTCAAGTCTTCAGTTATTGTCCATCAGAGGCGTTATGCCAAACAAGGGACAGACTGACCAAAGGAGAAGCATTAGCTACACAAAGGGCCTTCCATAAACGTGCTAGGTCTCCATGTCCTCTACAAACCCAGCATTTGCTCCTCCTGTCTACTGTGGCTGCTGTCCTGTCCACCTCTACTCCACAGGGTCTGAGTAATCAACATACCTAGTGTGGAGTGCAGAAGCTAAAACCTGAATCCAGATTCAAAATCGTGGGCAGAGCTGGCTGTTGCTCAGTGCTAGAATAGCGCCTAGTATACATGAGGCCCTGCTCCTCGACCCCAGCAAAGAAGAAGGTAGATGGAGAGACTGTAAACAAAAGAATAAAAGTTAGGAGGGGAGCCCAAAGACATAACTCTATGAGAACATAGACCCGTTGTCACTGCACTGAACTAGATGCAGGCTATTATAGGAGGGGACTGTCACAATTATGGGAAAGCACCATTTTCTCCAGAAGGTTCTATAGTTTTAGTCCCTGTGAAGCTTTTTGGCATACAGACATAGTTGTCTTTTGCCCTAGCATTTAGCCCTCCTGGCAGTAGTAGTAGTGGTAACACTTATTAAGAGCTCATCCTGGGGTAAATACTCAGCAGAGAATTGTAGCAGGGCGAGATTGACTGATCCTCTAACGAGTCCTCTTGCTGTCTCTCACAGATGAGCACCATGAGGTTTCAAGAGATCAAGGAATATATTCTGGGTGACACAAGATGAAGCCAGGTGTCTTAGTTACTGTTCTATTACTGTGTAGAGTCATGCTGACCAGAACAACCTATAAAAGAATTAATTAATTTGGGGCTTACTTCCAGTTCCAGAGAGTGAGTCTGTGGCAGAGAGCATGGCAACACATTGGTAAGCATGGAGCTGGAGCAATAGCTGAGAGTTTACACCTCATTCACAGATTTCAAAGGTCTCTGAATCTTACTCAGTGCCTTGCAAACACAGATGTTCAATAAATGTTTATCTAAATGAATACCAAGGTCTCTGTTTTCAAACCTGCTTTCTCAGGAGTTTCACACTCCTACCTGAAGCATTCCTGTGCTCCCTAGTCCCAGCTCTTCCTTCTCCATTGCTCAAGAGACACCACAAGCTGTGGTACAGTAACAAAGAGGCCTCCAGACAAAAGCCTGTGTCTCCTCTGGAGTGTAGCAACCTGTTCATTCAGTCTGTACCACTTGGGACCCACACATCACCAGAAGGAGGGGAAAGCTGAAAGATATTTCTTTCCTCTAGGTGCCATTCTGATCCCTTCTAGAGTCAGAATCCACCCCTGAAGGCTAGGAACACAAGTGGGCACCTTGGTATTTGCATAACACTAGAAGCCATGTTTTGCACCTCACTTAGCTTTGTCTTTTCACATGGCCCCTTTCAGCCCATTATTTCAGATGTAAAATAGCTCTCTATTGAATAAAATATCTCTGGATATCTAAAATCTTCCTTAATATACTCCCCCATCACCAAACTTAAGGTCCTGGTTGTTTCAGGGTATTTGATCACACTGTGAAGCTCCAAGACTGTGTTAATAAAATTAACCACACACGACTATGAAGGGCTGGAGAAAAACAGTGACAGCCAAAGTACATTCTAGCGAATGGATCGGCCCAGATGCTACACTGACCGCTAACGTAATGTTCTCACAAGAGACGGTCCTTGCGTTTGAGCTCTGCGTGCGGCACCCGGCCTCAAAGCCAGAACTGACATCACCCCCTGCACCATAGGTGATGCTTGCTACTTCTGTTCCTCCTCACCGAGTGGGCCAGAGCGGTTTTCCCGGTTGAAAGCAAAGTGGAGGTTGCTTCCTATAATCTCAAGCCCTGCAACCCAGAGAGCGCAAGGACAGGCATCCTGTCCGACCCAAATGGGAGACGAGGATGGGGGCCCAGCGACTTCTCGCCTTCCTCGACCAGGAACTTCGCACACCAGAGAGAAAGCATCCTGCTTGCACGCGCTTACAGTCTGGGTTCCAGCGCTCACTTGCCAATAAGCAACACAGTGCAGGGAAACAGCCAGCAATTCGTACAGCCGCCGCCATGCTGGAGCAGGAGCAACGACGCTGCCTGAGTCTGGGCCCGCCTTCCCCACTGCCTGCCGCGACAGGCTGTGACCGCGCCTCGTCAGACATTCGTCCTAGGCGCAAAGAGAGGTGTTGAGACTCGAGGATCATCGTTCAGCGCACACGGGGGTCGAGAAATTGTCCACACGGAACAAGAGGGAAATTGAGTCAGGTTCAGCAACGGACAGCTTCTCAGGGGTCCTCGCGCTAAGACCCCAGGCAGGAGCATGGAGAGGGCGTGGCTAACTCTATATATCTTATATTACTAAGTAATGGCCAAATCTCTCAGCTTCAATCCAGGATTGGAGAGTCTTTGGAAAGCCCATTCTGCTGATCCAGGAAAAAGTCTGGGAACGAATCCAGGGAGTGAAGGAGACAAAGTTTAGGAAGTTCGTACATCACTCCAGAAAAGACCTAAAGTTTATTAAACTTTACGTTGCCTTTGATTTTGTATTCGTGGTAGAGGTTGTTCACACACGCAGAGCCAGCCCTAGACCATGGATTTTACCTCACCTGGTCATGCTTTACACTATTCCTGCTTGCCCAAATGAGTCACATATGATAGTTCTGGACTCTGCCTTTGAAAGGTAAGCCTCCGGCAAACTGTTTCTAGCCTGCCCTGGGTACAGTGTTTTGCCATGGCAATAGAGTAATGCGGGCTTTCGTCATTAACGGCTTCAGTTATCCTCCAAGGCTTCTGCCTTTCCTGAGAGCAATGGCTGTCACACATGTATTGGCCACCTAATGTCTTGGTGATGATTTGAAACACCCAGAGATCCTGGGAGAGTCAAATGGCGGTTGATTGCTTCTGAGTGTGTCTTGGCTGCTTCTCAGGCATTTTCGGCATGGACTGGGAAAAGGCTTCAGTTCGTTCAGTGACGGTACCCATGAAGACCAAGAGGCATTTGAAGATTTGACAGGTGGGGAGCTCAGGAAAATACACCTTCCAAATCTGTCTGAGTGAAGAGGCCTTGTCTGTGGGTGGTTACAAAAAGAGATCTTTCTGAAGCACGTGGAGCCCCTGGGAACTCAGGAAAAGACTGACAGAGCCCCTTTCCTGAGAATAGGTGATTGTGTGTTTCTCCTAATCTTGTCTGACCGGCGAATCACAGAGCTACTTTACAAGCTTCTATTAAGTACTTGAAGAACATAGTTGAGGGTTTCTGTGTGACCATCCTTCGGGAGGACAGAGGAATCCTTTCACACTTGCCTTCTCCACGGCCTTAGGGACAGACTGACACTTACAGGGTATCCATCAGGCTGACAGAGGCGAAAGGAGTCAACAAAAATTAGGCAGTAGGGCTGTACACTTGGCAGTCTAGTGACCAATTTATTCCTTCCTTTGATAAATGATTCATCCCTTTGGTGTCCCCTGTAGCAGATATGGAAACACTGGAGAGGTTTCGAGTGGGGGGCATGACAGACAAAGTCTGTGGTCAATAGTGGATGCAACTTCTCTTGGAGTCCAGTAAATCTCTTTCCTTTCAGAGAATAGGATGAACATGTAACATATGTATTTTCTCAGGAGAAGAAGTTGCTTCTTTGACAATTCTATGTTCTACTTATGAAATACTTCTATACTATTGACTTGATAGATAAAGAGATCAAGTTTTTAGGAAGGAGTGTACCTGGTGGTGTGAGATCAAGGTGTCACTGTCAGTCCCTGGAGAGACTGGGGTTGTCCTGGGCTTCAGAGTGTGGTCATTTGGATAGGTAAGATTGGATCATTTGTGACCATCCAATGGTCAAATGAGGACTGTTATTGATCCTGCTTTTCGACCATGTAATTGAAGGAGCCTGTCTGTCTTGGGAAGCCCCAGTGCTGGGGCTTTCTTAAGGCTATCATAAGATGGTTTCTTGGTCCCTTGATTACAAGGGGTATGGATTTGGGACTCATTTCGCTTCTCAGAGATTTAACCTGGCTATTTCGTTCAGTGCTGCAGATCATATTCTGCAGTACCCTGTTAGCTCCAGAAAAGCCCTAACATGTCTCTTATTTCAGAGAGGAGGTAAATCCAAATATCCTGGGGCCAAATGAAGATCCAGTAATTGACTTATGCATCTCAAAGGTTGAGTCTTTCCCTAGAATCTTTGCATCCTTTTTGAGCTACAAAGTTTAAAGTGTTTACAGCCTGTTGTTTGCCTGGTGTCCTCTGAAGCAGTAGAAAGGAGGTCATCCTCATACAGCATCCTCTGTAGCCTAAGGTTACAGAACTGAGTGGAATGCCCCAAGGTGCCACCCAAATCCAGAGTCTGACCAAAAGAGTGAGAACTAAGAATTCTTGAAGGAAAACAGCAACAGGTATGTCGCTGAGCTCATGCATCGATCTGGGATAGTCCACTGAAAAGTGACCAAGAACTTAGAACCCTGACTTTCAGAAAAGACAGGCATGCTGGCAAACCAGAAACCGGATTTATGCTGTTTACGCCTTAGAGGGACAGCTGGTCTCCGGGTTTAGGGGCACACGCACAGGCAGCCAGGTCTCACAGCTTCAGCACCACAGATCTGGAGGGCAAGCTTGGGTAGTTTTGTTTTGTTTCCAAAGCGTCATCTTGAGAGCGCCGGCCGTCGAGACTTCTGGGAAATGGAGTCCCTGCGAAGGTGGCGCATTGATTCGGGGCCCATAGACGGAAGACCGTCACTTAGGCGCACTGCCTTCCCGATCCCAGGCGTTGTGGCCTTACCCGGTACCCAGCGCGCTTACGGAAGGTGAGGACTGTGGGTCTAGGTCATCGAGACAACGAGTGGACGCAGCTGCGGAGAGAAGGGAATCCTAGGGACTTGGGGGAGGATTCGTGGGCGTGACCTGGTGTGGCTAGCTCGCTCGTGATTCGTCCCGCCCAGTGTGCTTAGGTTCCTTAGGGCACAGACGCCGCTCCAGGTGTCCTTGTGGGTATGTCCACTGTGTGTCAGAGTCCTGTACTTTCAAGTTGGAGGTCCCTGTCTGCGCCTTGTCTTCCTTCAGTTCCTTCTTTCCGTAATGGATGCTTCATGAATGTAGGTGGTTACCGACCCTGAATCTAGGGGTGTCCACTCCACTATCACAGTCCCCCAGATAACCTCTCCCGTTGCATCTTTCGTTCCCCATCCCCATCCTGCGCAGGAATGTCATGGTGCGAGCGTGTTCGTGGAGGAAGTCAGATTTGAGGTGAATAAAGCCCCAAGGGAAATGACAGATGGCTTTAGGCAGATTTGAGATGATTTTGATGAGAGTGCTCTGTCAAGGAGTAATGGGAAATAAGGGTAAAGGAACTATGCAGAGGCC